GAAGAAAAGCGCATATTGATGCTCATAATTTACGATTATTGCAGTCTTGCACAATGTGCGCGTTTGGCGCGCTATTACCGCTACGGCGATGGAAGAAGAAGAAAAAGGCCGTCCTGTTTGCCAAAGGAGCGCGAAGAACGCCAACGAAATGAAGCATTGTATCGCGGGGCCCGTTGCATGTCGCCGCACTGTTGCTCCGCATCTTGGCATTAAAAGGTGGGAGGGCGAAGGTTAATGATCTCGAAAAGGCGAAACGCGAAACGAAACGCCAAACCCGACACGACCATCGGACACATATCCACATCGAAAAGCACAATGAAAGAAGCGCGGCGGCGTGCGCGCTCAGCGGCCCCGAAAGCAACCTGCAAAGACCAGTTTTCTTTCGGTTTGCTTGCTTGCTTGGCGCGTCGATAAACCCAAGCTCGTCGCAAACGACGCTTTGGGCTTATTTATTAGCCGCGTTCGTTTGCAGCGCGCGCAATCGGCGAACGCCATGTGGCCAATCTGCATGCGTTCCATGTGGCGAATCGATTGTTTCGTTTCGTTTCATTTCTTATTTAGCTTTTATATTGCAGTCGATAAATTCAATACGTTTCCATTTAGCCGCGACGAGGAGGCGCGCAGAGGCACAGGCACAGCGTCCTTAATTTTTGTTCCTTTTGCAGGCCGCGCGGTGCGCACGTCTTTTTCTCGCAAGTGTCGAGCTTTTGGCTTACATTTACATTCGCTAAAGAAGAAAAATATGCGTTCATACGGCGGCAGCGGCGACGGTGGTGGTGGCAGTTGTCTTCGATTCGTTTTCGTGCAGCAGGAGATGCTAAATATAAACGTTATAAATCTTCACCCACTTCCATTCACCAGCAGCTTTTCTTTCCTTGTATTATGCACATCCGCGCCCAAACAGCATCTATATTTAACTTTCGGCTTGCCTCTACTGCCCAAACACAGGCGTAGCGAGAAAAAAAAACACAACACGCACATACAACAAAAGACATAAGAAATATGCTCTTATTACACTCGTTTCGGTTGTTTTTTTTCTTCTCTCGTTTTGCTCAAACAATCAATAAGCAGCGCGCCAAGCATAAAAGTTAAACGATCACGCAACTGCATTCCGGCGCATTGTGCAAGGCACGCGTAATAAGACATTACAAGACTGGATGCTGCACGATCGCCAGCGCAGACACGTGCACATCTGCATAAATGTGTAATTCGCTATAATTCATTGCAATTACGCGTAATGCGCGTGTTTTCGTCTCGCACGCGCGTGTCGCTGCAACATAATGGACCGACAGGTGTTTATCCCAGTCAAAAATTCAACTAGCAACCAAATAAAAACCAAAACTTTTTTGTTTGTGGTTGAGTAATGTTAATGCAAAGCGCACAAGAATGTGTGCAAAGTCTCAACGGTCGAAAACCAAGAGCCAAAGAGACGCAGAGAAGCGAGACATATGCGTCTCTCCAGACTGACCTTCCTGGACCGGTTTCACCTCCTCGAAACGTCCTCGCGAAGACACAGTGCGCGCAAACTGCAAACAATTCGCGAGCCACAGAGAGAACCAGAGAACCAACTGCCGTTTGATAGGGGCCTCGCCCCGTGTTCGGTAATAATGCTGCGTGTGTTGCGTTGGACGAGGCGGACATCCGAGACGCGGCACCAAGGTCGCGCCTAAATAGAATCACGCTTTGCACAAACATCACACACACATACTACTCAGGTGTAGACTACGTCTATGTTACTAGGCTACCGCCACTGCCGCCCGTGTCAAAACCAGAAAGGCAGCGCTTCGACACTCGATATCAAAGCGAAACGACGCGCTGGGAAAGCGTTTGTGAGCACACACATTGATCAAGCAACAACTCCAGACCTCTCTCAAAGCGAGGAGCTCCAGATTTCACTCGTCTACATCCGGATAAAGTTAAGACGCGCGTCCGCAGTCCGAGTTTCAAACAAAACAAAAAAAAACTTTTACTGCTATTAATCCGCAGACGCGATGCACGCACGCAGCATGCTTGTGATTAGATGAGAATTACGCTCAAAAAAGGGTCGCGTACAAGTGCGTGTAGCGCAAACTCCAACTAGCGGGATGGAAATTTGCATATTTCTCAATTATCGCTAATGGAACATGCACGAGCGCGCATTCCCGGCAAATCTTTAGCGCACACAAACATATTTCATTGTACATGGGAGAGAAAACAGCAAGCCGATTATAAACTCGTGAAAGAAATCGATCGCTGGGCGCGTGTGAGTGTGTGTGTGCGGCGTGGTTAAAACATTTTAATAAAAATGTTCACTTTTTCTTCGCGCTGGCGTGCGCTATGAAAATGTTTGAAAACATGTTCTGCGTGCTTTTCCGTGCGCGCTCCTTTTGTGTGGTTGTTTTGATGAATTTTCAATGCCCGAAAATCTATCTGCACGCATCGATTTCCGCAGATAACCATCGGATAGATATAGCAGAGCGCAGACATTATCGATAGAAAAATGGAAAAAGGCACGCTGTAACATTAAGCAAAAAGCTTTTTCCTTCGCCGTACCCAAACCCATATACACATGCAGCATTTCAGTTTACATCCAACTATTTTTAGCCATCAATTTCGTTGATGATATATTTTATGTATTCGAAATTACCGCGCTGCCGACACGCCGGAAAATTGACATTGGAAAATCGCGCCGTGGCTATTATTAACGATAATTAATATTTACATCCCACGCTGCATCTCTCCTCAACAACAGATTCTGTTCAAGTACACACAATTTGCTGCATTCAGATTTTCATCGATGAATAAAATATCGAGCGCCGCGACAGACATAATTGTGTCACTAAATAAGCAGTTTCGTTTAATTCCAAAAGCAAACGAGGATGATGATGACGACGAGGACGGGGCACGACACGCCATGTGATGCCGTAATCAAGTAATGTAATAATAAACTTTTATATTGGGATATCCGGTTGACAGCGCGCCGCGGTTCGGGAACGCGGGCGCACGCAGCGCATAACCACCGGGCGGCATAGTGGCAACTGTGTGCGGAAGTCGAAAGTTGGGGAACTTTTCATACGCGATATACAAACAGAAATTAGAACAGCTGCTTCAATCATACAGAGATAGATACAAACTTTCATGCAGTGATTTTTATTTTTTTCCCGATTTTTTTCGATTTCTCCTCGTAAAATGAAAAATGATTCAATCGACATTGGCGAAATGAGTAAATTCACGCCTCGGGCACATCATCGATAGTGATTTAAAAGAGAAAAATAAAGATTGGTGGAGGTGCCATCCCTCGCTGCTGCCATCGATGGATCATAATGAAATGAGCTGCGAGCGGATAATAGAATTGGCTTCATTACATTGTCTACAGAATCTCTTTTGCACTTTCGCATCAAACTGTTTTTCCTCATCGTGTGCGCGCCTCGCCTTGCCCTGCTTCTATTCTACAAAGGGCAAAAGCGTATCGTGTCATTGCGAACGCGCCAACGTCGGCGACATTTCAGCGTTTTTCAGTCCAAAGTGCACGAGGCGATAAATCGACGTGTTTGCACGATATTCCCTGGATATTGTATCGAAGCCCAGCAGCGTGCGGCGCGCGGCATGCAGGCGGCATTAGATTGGCGAGGCGGCGGCTCTTTTAATCCGGTTAATATCGGAAATTTAAAATGACACAACGCGGAAGCGAGTTCAATTAATGGCCGCGCCACGCAAAGCTCCCCAAAGCTTCGCAAAAAAACCCACCACCACCACCACCACCAGCAGAAAAATAAAAAGCGATTTTCAAAACGAGAATATAAAAATTGATGTCACCAGAGCATGAAAATTATTCGAAACGCATAAAATGTGTGACAAAATTCACTTCAATCGCCTCGTATCAAGAATAGAGCGGTAGCACGAACCGCACCAAACCGCTATTAATTAAAGAGCCACTTCGACATAATTAACAAACTAGAGAGGGAGCAATTACGCGATTAATAAAACGATACGCGCCGCGTTCGCCAGCGCGCTCTGCGCGCTAATTGATACAGAGACGCGCAATCGTCTCTCCGCTTCAGGCCGCAGGCGAGCGCAAACCTGACAGACGACACAAGGCATCTCGACGCACACACACACACACACACACTTATACTCCTACCGCACAACTACCAGTACCACAGCCAAAGAAGAAAATTCTTGCTCGTCGGAAATGTCTAGCGCATCGCAACGCGCGCCGCGCCCGAATGCCAAACACGCGCCGAACAATAAGTCTGATGCTTCCCAATTTAGCGATATATCAAATTATACGCGAGCGCACCGAGGAAATATGGCTGACAGTGACAAGTATTGTTCGGGTAATGTCATCAACGGCGGCGGATTATAATTTCAATGTTCCCATTTACTCCACCATTCACCGGCTGATAATATGCGTGTGCACCGCGCGCGCGCACAACTACAACAAGTATGAGTGATAATGTGCTCATACAAAGTGTTCCAACATCAACAACATCAAAGCTGGGTCACGACGTCTGCCAACCAACTTACAAACCGGAAGAAACAGAAAAGCAGCAGCAGCAGAAAAAAAAAACTATTTTGACATACATCACTTCACGAGTTTAGAGTTGGAGTTGGAGTTTTCAGTCCGTTTGAACTTTTTAATGGCGACATTATACGCCTAGTGTGCGCCCGAATCGAGGGCGATGGATGGATGGATGAATGAATATGTATCTGGCTGTCACGAAGGTGCACGCGTAATAGGAGAGTAATGCAAAGCAAAGAGATGCTTTCGCGCCGAAGGCACAATCACAGCACACTTCCATCCGTATGTAATGTATGTATACGCCGTACAAATATTGGATAAACACAATTTCGAGCTTTCCGCGAATATCAACCGCCCTCTAAATATGCATATGAGGCAGGTTTTGATCGATTATGTACATTCAAGTACAACACGCGCGTCACTTGCACATCACATAAATATCACATTAAACACACACAGAGAGAGCAAATTAATAAAAGTAATAATATCTCATATTCACCTTGATACTGTCGTAGCATGCGGTCACCCTGCCGTTCTGGACCTCGACGTTCGCCGGCGGATGAGCAAACTTGCACTCCGTGTCCGGCCGGGAGCACTTGTTACGCTGAAACTCCCTGCAGACCTCCAGCTGCAGCCAGCGCGAGTCCTTGCCGTTCAGCAGATTATTCATATTCACCATTGCCATCTTACGCGCTCCAAATCAAAACGCTTCGCTAGTAAATGATTCTCCGCGGGGGTTCAAAAGTGGAGGGGGGGTCAGAACGAAGAAACACGCGCACTGTATACAATATTCCGTCGATATGTGATAAACAATCAAATTCGGGGGTGGTGGGTAAGAGGGGGGTAGAGTTTTGGGTGGTCTTTGACGAGTATCAACAATTACTGTTCATGTTGCGCGCGCACGTTTCGGTCGTATCCGTTCGCAAGCGGTGTGGAGCACTAGAGAGTTTAAGATGCTGATAGATGCAATTAATACTCAATCAGATATTGAGGGAAACAAAACAACGTTTTGCAGTTTATGTAAAAGCGGGAAGGCGAAGCGAAGCGGCTTGTTTTTGTTGTTGTCTGTTGGTTGTTGTAGTTTTGGTTTGTGTTCGATCGAGATAAGATATATAGAGAAAGAAGCTAGCGCATTGTTGGATTCGCTTAGTTTTTGGTTTGCTTGGTTTCACAACACACACGCAACAAGCCCAGAGAGTGCGTTTCTACTGCTTTTTGCTTGGCCGGCGTAGGAGGATGCGTGTGAGAGATAGATTTGTCTACTCTGGCACTGCGTCTGCTTCTTGCACTCGACGGCGCAAATTCTGCAAATAAAGCGAAATACAATTAGAAATAGAAGGTTTAACTAGCCGATAATTTAATCTACATAATAGACCAACACAAAGAATGAAAGCAAGATGGAAAAATAGAGTAAATAGCACAAAATTATAAACAATTGCATTAAAAGCGATTAAAACATTAAAATAAAAGCAAGCATGCGGCAATTTTCTAATAATAATGCAATGGCTAAGAGCATGACAAATGTGTGATGTGATTAAATAAAAACATGACTCACTCATCAACAATTCATCCTAATCCTAATATACGATGTTTATTGTTTTCGCGCTATTCGTGGCGCGAGTCTCGCGCATGAAATCCAACATTTATTTGATATTCAAAGTGCGCGGAGAGCGTTTCTAACATAGGCGTGCGTCGAAAATAGAAAAACCGCACTTTTTATACTAATAGCGCGGTTTTTTATAGCCCACTTGATCTCAGCTGGTGTGAACTGTAAACGCGCGATGGTGCCTCCTCCTCACACACACAAACACACAAAACGAATAATGATGATATCATTGACGAGGCCACGACCAGCGTACGTAATTCGGTGCGCCAGAATCAAGTCCCATTTGCGTGTGGGAAGCGCAAAAATTACATAAGCGTCGCGTAGTAAATGAAAAAATTACGACAAATGGATGATGCCTCCGCCCGCCTGGTCAAAACAAAAGTGCAAGAGCGCGGCGCACAATTGCTCGTCGGACGTCTCATAAATCTGAATTTGGTCGCCTTCCGCTATTCTGCGGGTATCCAAATTAATTCCAAGGCTGTCAATGCCGCGCTTAATTCGATTCATAAATTAACAACAACGTGGCAATGGGTGCAAACGCTCCGCGCACACACACACCCACATGTGTGGCGTTTTTTATTTTTCAATTGTGCGATATTAAAATGCTAATCGCGTGACGACGATGCGATGAGCGATGTAGGTGAGCAAGGCCTTGACCATGTCTAGCGCACAAGTTATGTGTCGCTGTTGTGCATTATCACACGCCTAAAAATAAACTTATCGCACCGCGCTGCTGCTCACGAACCAAACAGAGCGACGAGTAGCGTTTTTCAATTTTTATGCTCACAATTTTTAATCATGTAAACGAACCGGCGTTACACGGCGTAATTTTTCTGAAAAGAGTGCTCGAAGCTTGTAGATGCGCGCACAAAGATGAAATGATAAATCCACGGAAACTGCAGCGGCGAATGCGATATGCAAACGCCAGAGCGCCGGAGTAATAGCGTCGCATAATCGCCGCATGCATAAAATAAACAGTTCAACAGCGACATCACGATGTGAGTCACAAGTTTGTGAATAATTAATGAAGCGGAGCGAAAGCGTCGTGCGCTCATCATACTGCTCAGAACAGAATAGACACACACACACACACACATAGAAATAAACCAATACAACACAAACACATCATCATAATGCCTAATTACAGCGCAAGCGATTGTGCGTCGCATTAGAATTATTGCCGTTGGCATTAGCGAAAACAGCGCACGAAAATTAAAAATACGATTTGTACCCGAAAATGACTCACATAAATCCTTGTTATCCGCGGCGGCGCGCGATTACATGAACACGTTAAGTGTGAAAGTCGTGTAGCAACGTAAACAAATGCAAAATAAATAGACCGGCAGCCAAAATGCGAGGCGCTTGTGATGTTTCTGGCAGCGCCGACAACAATGTTGTGCGCGAGCAAAGTTGAAGGAAAATCCAAGGAAAATTGTCGAATGGCGTGTCGCGGCTTTGGCTTCTTGGCTAAGCACTAAGCACAGTATTGTTAAACGCAACGCATGCATCATTTAAATCGCATTTCTTTGCTTTTCGCCACGGCACCGGCAGCAGCAGCACTAATGCAAACTCATTTGTCCTTGACTTATACAAAACTCACTTTCATTCAAATTAAAAACACACACACACAAATTTTAAGTTTAAATCAAACGCAAAGTTTAAATATAAATCTCAACTTTGTACACAAGTTACAAGTTTGTAGCTGTAGCGACCTGTGACGTGTGTCGTAAGCTAAGATTAAGATGAAGAAAAAAAAATTCCGAAGACGTGAAAAAGCACCCACGCAAGTACGGATCCACCACCACCCCGGATGGATGTTCGGATGATGGGAAAATCTTGTACGTCGCGCTAGGCCGCGCCGCCGCCACCGTGTATGCTAAGGCTAAATAATTTCATTTGGAGCACTCACTCACGGTTACCGCACTTCGTGGACCTTCTCCATAGAAAACGCTTTTCACGCACGCACCACACACACTCCAGACATAAATAAGTTTTTTCATTTATTCATCGGCGTGAAATATTCACGCACACATGTACTTCAGCTTCCGGATAAATCTGCTCGGAAAGCATAAAAAAATGTACACGGGCGGCGAATTCAAAAAAACCGCTTAATTTTTACCATTCGTGCGTTGGAATCTGTGTTGAAGTCATAGCCAGAGTCCGAATTTCCCGAACAATAAATGATAAGAGACGAGTGAAAGCTGTTCGCATCGTCGAGCGCGTTTATATCCCCGATATATTCACGAGTGGCGGGCGGCGAAATTTGCAACTTGCAACGCAGATAACTTGGAGGCGGCTTTCGCATCGAATCTATCCGCCACTACTCTTGCGTTCGTGCGCGCGCGAGCCGCGCCAGAGCTATAGATTTGCGACGCATTGTTGTGTGAAATTGGATTTTGTCATTTTAATTATAATTTTATCTCGACGCCACTGCGTGCGCCACCATCATGTTGTTGTTGTTCCGAATGCCCCCCGCGCGTATACATACGTTTCGCGCGCGCATTTCATACAAATGGCTCGTATGCGATTTTAATTAAACCGAGCCAAAGCAGGTCGACATGTTGCAAACGCGCGTCCGTCCTCCGCGCTGGGTTGACGTGCGTGTCGATATCATCCGCGGCGCTGTGTGTTTGTCGATCGAGTGACAATCGCACACACCGACGCCGACGCCAGATACTCGTATAGTGTGTGGCCCGCGCCGGGCATAATGGCGCTAATAAAAATTATTCGATGATTAACAATCGTTTAGCGATATTAGCGCTGAGCAAATACGTCAGTGCACACAACACACACAACACGAAATCGATCATTATTTTAATAAATATGTCACAGCATGTACGGACAAATAACAAATGTATTTTTGAATGTTTGTTTTTATTCTACTGGATTTTAATGGCAATTTAAGTGAAGCATTGCAAAAAAATCTAAATCCCTCTGATTAAATTATATTGATAAATCTAAGCCGGATAAAAATTGCCTCGCGGAGTAAACTAATTACGAAGGCATTCTAGCGGCTAAATTATCGTCCAATTTGCAGACTTAATAGAACCTCCATCCCACCTCCGCCCGCGCGCAAAAAGGACCGCTCTCGGAATATAATGCACGGATCGATGGCGCTATAAATCCGTGGGAAATAAGGAAACAATTAAAACGCGAGCCGGCGCGAAGAAGCACAAGAGAGTAAAGTAAGTATATACGTGGGGGCAAAAACTCTTTTGCCTCTGCCGCCGCTGCCGCCGCCGTCTCAAGCGGTAATCGCGCGCCGACCGAGTAATGAAAAGGAACATTTTTAATACGCGGCTCTTTGCTTGAAACTCGACGTGAACCTGAACTTTTCGCGGGCGCAATCCGCCAATTCTCCAATTCCCATTCGAGTGCTTACCAGTGCGTCTGCAGATATACTCGAAACTTTACTGATTATACTCGCAGCAAGAGCGCCGCGCACTAAATTTCACTTTTCCCTCCGACCGGTGCAGCCAACCCCTTCTTTTACGGGCACACTGGGCGAACGCAAGACAATTTCACCCTTTCCTCGCCCGCAACGCATTTTCTTTGTATAATCTTCGCACAAAATACTCTTCTTATACACAAAACGTGCTAATTTAAAATTTAACCAGAAAAAGATAAAAAATTTATGTCGTATGTGAAAAAAGTTAAATTCTTTAAATATCCATGTTTATTATTTTTTAACATCCTCCGCGCAAAGTCCAGAAAAAAAGCCGTTGTAACTTGACTGATATACGTTTAGGTGATTTAAATTGTGCGGACGCATCGCTATCTTTAAACGTATCAGCACTCCGGCCCAAGCGACCGCTCCACTTGACTAATTACAATTTTTCGAGCGCTCGCCCAGCGAAAAACAGCGAGGGCAAGATGGAAACACAAAAATAAAGACGAAAAAAAAACGTGAAATGTGTGCGACGCATAATAATTTTTTAAGTCGCCGGCGTTTTAAATGTCGTTTTTATCGCCCTGAGAGAGCCCGGTGTGCGTTGTGTGTCGTTTGTTTGTATCGTCGCGTTATCGCCCCATATTTCGACGAGCCGCACAACTCACAAATGACTTAAAAGAATGGCGAAACGTTGCTGTTATGACAGCGCTCGCGCTCGCGTAAAATAATTAATGACACTGACCAATAAAATTAGACGCATACGATTATTAGGCAAAAATTCCGCACAAGCAGCACACGTGTAATCGTACTAATTAGCCAAGAAAAACCTTAGCGTATATGCACAATGTGCACGCTGGAAACCTTGGATTAAATCATTAACCCGGCTCGCTATCGGTGCCATACGTATACACACACAACATAGAGCGACGAGGTATGGTATACTCGAGAGAATGAACACAAATGCGCGACTCGCGAGTTTTTCATGAGGCGCGCGCGAGCGAGCAACGAGTGAGCATTATGCCCACACCGGTGGCGAAGCCAACGAGCCTTCAACCTCAACCTACCCAAGAACAACACAAGCACTATAGAAAATCGAGTATGGAACCGTGTAAAGCGTAATAGTACGACATAAAACACGCCAGGCAGCAAACCAAGCCACATCCAACGATACGAGACGAAACAAAACACACAACTGCAGGAGAGCGAAAATGCTGCTGCTGCTCACTGCACGCTGCACTGTTATGTCATATTTGCCTGCAAATACTCGCGTACAGCGGCAGAGACTGTGACTCTCTCCGCTCGCGCCAATGGCTGCTTTTTACGAGATCTTTTACCTAAAAACACATTAAAACGGCGGCGGCGGCGCGCCCGAGCGCGCACACACAACGCAATTAAAATATTTATTATTTAATTGTGCCTCGGCTACCGCCGGCCAGTAGCGTTTTTATGAGCGCGCCGGGCGCAACAACACGACACGGGAACAATTAACGATATGATGAAAAGTACTGCACACACGCATTCCACATACATTCCACTCACAGCGCAGACAAGCAGCGGCGAATCTATTCCAGTCCAATTCAGTCCAATAAGAAATTCGAGCGCGCACGAAATCAAGCTAATAAGGCAACTAGAATATCACATTATCTATGACTCCAACCAACAACGTTGGCTTTAGCTATACTGCGATATCAAATATCACATCGGATTAAATTCTATGTTTTCCAGTAAAAGTATTATAATATATCAATATCTTCACGCAAAACAAGCGAAAAGAAAAGCCGTGAAATCTGAATACGTAAAATAATTCAATATGTCTCTCAATAAAACGTGAAAAAATATCGCAATAATAAAACCCCAACATATTTATTGATGGATTGATGGGAGGTATAAAGTGGACCGATGGATGATGATACGTGCCGCATTTTTTTCGCACGTTTCTTAGCCTATTTTCCGTGTTTTACGCGTTTTTTTTTTCTTCTCTTTGTTTTCGGGCGTTTTTGTGGTTTTCCTCGTTAAAATACCGCAAGGCACAAGAACTTCCGCGACGCTTAACACCGCACATAACAATTCTATTAATAAAATATTACATCATTGCAAGCCGCAGAGAGAAATCGAATATTTGAATAAAATAAAATAAAATATTGCGCTTGCAGCGTGCAGTAATAAATAATAATCAAATGTTAGTCGTGTACTATCACCCTCCTTTATTTGTCTTTCGCTTTGCGCTATCAGTTTGCGTTCTGGGCGAGGAAGCGATAATTTTTTGATAAAAAACACTGTCACAACTTGTTCCCAGCCTCAAAATCAAGCCGTCACACTTTCGCACACACATATTTGTTTGTGTAGTAATATTTTTCAAAATCGCTGTTTGCACTCTGTGTGCGTTTCGAAGCAATAAATATCCTACGTTAACATATACGCAGATGATGAATAAAAAAATGATAGGAAAATAATCCATAACGTACGTGTGCGTGTACGCTCGACACGATGAAACATGTTCGGCACACAAATCAGAAACAAACGGCACACAAAATAAACAAAAAAGAAGAGAATAACAATTTTTGCACATTGAGTGCGCACTCACTTCGTATAGATTGTTGGAGATATAGTAAACTTCCCAAGGAACTTAACACAAACGTCGTGATCCTCTCGCACACAAAGTTTTTTTTTTTAAGTTCAAAAGATTTCCTGCGCTCTCTCGCAAAGAACCAACAAAACGCAGCGGCGACGCGCTTGTTTTCGTTTCGGTTTGCCGACGCACTACTAGTGATATTCGGCGTCGCTTATCAAGATAGCCAATCAGGTGGTTGGTTATTCCTCGTTGTAGCACACCGCGAATGTAACGATGGTGCGTGTTGGAAACACAACAACGACACACGGGGCTGGTAGCGCACACGACCAAAGAGTGTGGTGCACACGCCTCGGTACAGAGACACTGACTGATTTCGAAAAGCGGGCAAGCTAAGCGGTCTGGCGGTAGGCGAGGGACTGACGACGGAATTCGCGCACCGGCGGCTGGCTGGCGGTGCTGCGCGGCGTGCAGTTCGAGCGCGTTCGCGTCTCGACCGAGCGCGAGCGAGCGCGACGCCGCGCGACCGCGCACCGCGAGGCGCGCGCGTTTCTTCCCTCCCTATCACACTCACCTAAAAACTATATCTAACAGCTCACTCGCACTCATATAGTAAAGTATGGCTGGTAGTCGAGTCGAATATTCGTTCGCGGCGCGCTGCGAGTCAAGCGCGCGCTCGCTTCTTCGCATAACTTCAACTTTAGCCCATTCTCTTCGACTCCGCGCTGCGCGCCGTACTTCATTTCACTTGCAAGTCGCGACATATGAGTTTTCTCTCCGCACAAAATCTTACATCAACGAATTCCAGCCGGAATTTTCGCATGAAATTCCGCGAGAAAAAAAAATTAATTTTTCAAAATGCAAATTTGGACAAGATAAAAACCCACAGGCGAGACACGTAAGCAAACACAGTCGCTGCACACGGTTACAGCCAGCCAGCCAGAGATTAATCACCATTATCACATTTTGTTTGTTTGTTTATTTATAAAATTTAATTAGAGATAAAAATTGCATAATGCCTGTTGCCGTGCAACTCGTATTTTTGTTTTGCACTTGTTGCGGATCACTTTTAATTGCATTTATCAATAAATTCGCATTTATTTTCGTCGCTAATTAAATGAGGCGCTTATTTTTAATACACGGACGATAAGTGCATGATTCTGCATAATGCTTGCGCAATTAACATTTCAATCATGTAATTGCGACGAAATTAAATCTTCATTACCGCTCAATTAATATTTATTTTTGAGGTGAAAAAAAGCATCGCAGCGAATGAATACACACCATGTTCTCGTTATGCAACATTGTGACTACATTCTCTTGCAGTGGCTGCTAAAGTTGGCGGCGCGAATCTATTAATACGCGACGATTTAGCATCTTCTTCGCGCGATCCATCCTATTTACCAGAAACGCTCGCATAGCAAAGCAAACACTAGATCACAGCTCACAGCGCGGCTGCATTCTGGCGGCGTGTACATGTCTTGTACGCGTAAGATGCTAACAATCGCATTAATTTATCGAATGGAAAGATGACGCATGAAACACACAGCTCAGTGACAATCAATCTTCGCGGATAATGCGCGCGCGAGGCGCACGATTTGGAAAGTAGTCGCGCGCGTCGATAACTCATTACAAATCGTTACAAACGCGACGAGTTCTCGTTAGAGATGACATTGTTGCGATTGATTGTGATTGCGGTGCCATTTTCAGAAACAGTAAGATTATATATTTATAACTTGAGATATAAAATACAACAGAATTTTAATTTTTGATTAAATCATGGATAAATATTGATAAAAAAGTATTTAAACAATAAAACACGGATTAATTACTCTTAATTAAATATAAATTGACTACAAAAGACTTTTTTAATGCAAAAGTTTGTATATTTTCACTCAGGACTAACGAAAAATAAAAAATAACCAAATATTGGGATTTTACGCGGATTGCCATCTGTTTAATCTTTGTAAGCTGATTATAAACTCAATTACACTTGTAAAAATGCCGGTAAATATTTCCTGAAGTCTAAATATGAATTCCGCGTCGCTCAGTTGTATTCACTTGTGTTATGTTTAAATGATTTTGTTGTAACGCAACGTGCACCCCAACAAATTAGCTGATAAATCGTGCTTAAGTTATAGAAATTTGCATTGCAATTTTTAGGGATGTTGGGATCATAATTACAACAATATTTCAAATGTTACCATCGATGTCATGTCTTTGAAAAAATATTCGAGCACATAATTGCTAGAAATTAAAATATTTTTGTCGTTACACAGAAAAACTGTACTGCTATAACGAGAAAATTAATATAAATCAATCAAATTGTACAAATTTCATCATTATAACTTTCTTTTCTCAAAAATTAAATATTGACTTCATGACCAATACCAAATGAAACGGTAGGAATTTCCAATTTTCCCATGAAAATGAAATTTTTGTTCTTACAAATTGCGGCGTAAACGTAACTAAAGAACATATTGTTTTACGCTGTTCTCTGTACGCGCCATTGTGACTGATAATGGCAACACAAACGGAAGCCAAGTCATGCCCTGCACAAGCACAATTCGGCGAAAATTGATTGTTTTCACAATGTGATGCCAGCGCAAAGCGATATGAGCGCCGAGTGACGCCTCCGGTGCGGTTGTTGCGCGCGTGTTTTGTGTTTGCGCAAGTTGTGTTTTACCAGCTTGAAGCTCGGGTGCTGGCGCGATAAGCCTCCTGGGGTCTACCATCAAGCAAGTGGTCGGAAAAGGCCGATAAGATAAAATTAAAATATAACGCATTTTTATTGCGCATACAGAATGCACACGAACATAAATACAACTCAATATATTCATTAATCCACAGGAAACCAACAAAAAAACAAAAAATAAAAGTTAAAAATTAAATTTTGATTTACACCATTTCTCCATTGATCTCATTACGCCTAATTGTTTATACTTACGCGTAGATAAAGGTGCGTATTATAATGAGGATTAAATCGAACGTTACCCTGGATTGAATCAGGTCTGAGCTGATATTATATTGTCCTACGGCGACGCCGCGGGATAGCGATAGCTATAGAGCTCTATGCGAGAGAGCTGTGCGCGCAGAGAGGAATATAGGAATATAACTTGTTGCGTCTCGCTGCTCCGCACTGCTGCTGGAGCAAAGCACGAGGCAATTACAATGAATGAGTGTACGAAGGCGTACCTACAACCTACAACGTACGCGTCCAAACAAACACAAACTTTTTCGCATTCGCATTCGACGTTTTCACCAACAACAACAACAACAAAAAACGTGGCAAATTGCGGACGAAACATGCAGAGAATAAATGAAAAACGCAACAATAATTCAAAACCAAGCCATTTCCCAGCTAAATAAAAGGGTTGAGAAGAGGACGCGTAGCGGATGGTTACATTTCAACGCCGTTTCAGTGGGTGTCGCTTTTGTTTTCCCCGCTGGTATTTTTTGCAGTCGGGTATTACCCGCTTCCCATTACGATAATAATGCCACAAGTGGAATAAAGCCGCGTCGTCGTCGACAACAATGCCGCGGACAAATTCACCAAAACTTCCACACGGGACAAAACTCGCGATTCTAAAGATTAACGAACGAATATAGCGGCGAGCCAACTAAAACACACGCACTCTCCTCCTCTCTCGGCGGGGGAAAAGTTGTGAAAACCCACGGAAAGCTCGATTGAACGGCGAAAGCTTTCGCATTCACGCCGTGGCGACGAGATAGCTCCCAACTACTAACCAACTCTTTCCAAGGCGCTGCGCGCTTTTGTTTGAGTTTTACTTAAAACTAGCGTGTGTGTTTACCAACAGCACACATCTCCACCAAAGGAGAAGAAAGTTTCACACACGAAACGCGGAGGAAAACTTTTATTTTTATTTTTTTTAAAAAGTCTAAACTGAATTAGACAGAAACGTGTCTTTTTTGAGCGAGTTTGCAAGGAGTGAGTAACGATATAACATTAGGAAAAGGGTCTCAAAAGAAGCAGAGAAGAAGAGAAGAAAAGTGGCCACCAGCTGGTCCACGCAGCATCCCCCTCGTGGTCAACGGCGTCAACACACATCGAGGGGGATGCCAAGCAACTTGATTGTCCAGTATCATTCAACACATCGTGTTAATGCACCCTTCAAAATCGAAATTTGAATAAAAATAGAAAAGTAGAAATTCACCCGGAGATAAAATTAATAGAAAGGGATAAGAAATAAAAAAATTAAAACCTTGACATTGAATTTTTCCTTTTTTCAAAACTTGTTCTATAGATACGGGTATGTAGATGATTAAATTCAAATTTCATGAGAATATTCCGAATTGAAAAAGATCAAAAGCCAAGACGTATCGAAGACTTAAAAGTAGCTCCCAAGTTGCAATTGGCGGCGGTTTCCACCTACTTTTGAAAGTACTCCTCGCATCACATGAATACCTCTCGAAATTCACATCTCAACTATTCAAACATAGCTAATATTCGCAATTAAATCGCTTATAACTGCTCATTGGCACGCCGTCTAAACGATGCTTCATTTAAATCTCGCAATTTAACAAGCCATTAGACATTAAAGCCCATTCGAGCGGCGGTCATTCAATTAGTTTTTACCACCGCTGCGCTGCAAACATATGTGCACACATACAGCTCGGTTAATTGTTGCTTGGGAATAATTGCTGTCGTTTCGAAAAGGTTTTATGTCCAGTCGAAAAAGAAAAATCATCCCTCAGCACGTGTAATTAACGTGCTAGAGCTCTAAAATGACGCGAAATTGAAAATATACAAAAAATCCTCCTTCTACTTCTCGTGTTGCTTGTGCTCGTGGCGAGTGAATTTTCTACGTCGTAAATATACGCGCATTCTAGACCCGGTGCGTTCATTAAACATTTCTTGCATCGTTTACGTTTCAAGTTTCGAAGCACGCCGCGTTTTTCTGAGACAATGCGCATTGGATGTGGATAATTGCGCGCGGCAGCCATCGATAAATGCCAATTGATTTATGGACCGTTATTGAAATGAGCAAATTTTATGAATACGTAATGGACGTAATAGCGCGTCCGTTCGCGAGCATAATGGACGAGTTAAAGAGCACGCTCATACGCGCACCGCGCCATACGCGAGAGAAGAGCGCAGCGCGCGAATTCGGGCGAGGCGTTTTCATTCTTGGCTGCTTCATGAATTTCATCAAGGCGCATTACTTCACATGCGCATTCATTGATGAATTAACATGACGTTTGTACTCCCAAACGACACCATTCAACGCAGACGACGCGGAAATTCAGATTTAATGTGTTTTTCAAGCAAAAATAATCAAAATGTTAATTATTATTATCTTAAATCACAATATTGTATGTATTGTATGAAAATCTTGTTTTATTTTATTTACAACAACGTGATTCTAAGATTTAAGAAACTCTGGCGCCGCCACTAATCCTCAAGTTAACGACGCTTTAATACCAACATCGCACCAGC